CCCAGATTGTTGGGGGCAATATGCTGACACTGTAAACTGCTTAGAGAGGGCTGTAAAGCACTGTGAAGCAGTATATAAGTCTAAGTGCTAATGCTATTACTTAATAATGCTCATTTAAGTATATGAAATGTCTTGATTAGGAAGCATAGAAAGATGGCCTGGTGATTGGAAACCTCTTAACACAATGTCTGCTATGTGATAGCACATTCACATAATGCTACAGTTAACTAATCCAATGTGCCAAGTATATCTCATCTGTTTTCACAATCTACCAGTAAATTACAACATCCTAGCAAAAAAAAACCAAATACCCTGATATATATTGCTAGCCTGGATTAAAAACAAACAAAACACCACCACAATCAAGAATGGTAGAAATGGTGGTCTAAATTCAACTCAAGAAATCTTTTAACTAGGCGTTGTCATGGAAAATTACCAGCTCTCTATGCTCAATTTACATAAATATTAGAAAATGGAAATCTAACTATTGTCAAATTTACTTTTGTATATATAAAAAGTGATTCATGCATTTCTCCATAGAGAGGGATCTCTGGCAATCTGTGATTATTAATATCCATAATGGAGGTAATTTACTCCCACAGATTATCTTATTACAGTCTTTTCCGAAATGCCAGATAGAAGGAACTGTCACTCATTAAACAATGTTCTAAATACCAGCATCTAGCTTATCTGTTTTGAAATAATTTGGAGAAATTGCTGCTTCAAAGATGTCCTGTTCTGTTATATTATGACATTTCTGAAACAAATCCAAACCTAAAATCAACTTATTTTCCTTCCTTCCTTCCTTCCTTCCTTTCTTCCTTCCCTCCCTCCCTCCCTCCCTCCTCCCTCTCTCTCTCTCTCTATATATATATGATATTTACATGCTGCACATCTTCTGGACAACTGGAAACAAGTAACAAATAACTACAAGCAAGTCTTAGTAACAAAATATTAGGTTTTCTCTCTTCGGTCTGATGGTAATGGCATCATCACAGTCTGTGTGTAAACATGCATCTATGTTTGGCTATTTTCTTATTGGCAACAGTGTGATTTGGCCTATCAAACACTTTATGGTTTACAAGACTGCTGCGAGCAAAAGGATTAGGCTTCTCACTGTGAAAAGAAGAATAGATGGCACAAGGAGTTCCTTTTTCAGAGATTACTTTATCACTTCCATTTTATTCAAAGCCATAATCTTTCCTAGTAACAATGGTTACATTAACAAAGAGGAACAAATCTGAATATTCATCTTATATTACTTTATACATTTTTTTCCTCCATGGACTGAGAAAATGGATAGGTTTACTACCCATATCCTGAGGTAAGGTATGACCAGGCAAACTGCATAATAATTTAGGATTTGTGTAAAATTCACTGTACTGATTTGTAAACTCATGGTTTATGGCTCTGATGAACTGTGTCTTAGTCAATGAAGTATGATTAAAAGCAATGTATAAACCAGATCAATAGCTAAATAGTCGAGATGTGAAATGGAAATCATTCTAAAAAAAATCTTACGAATTTAGAGAATAAACTTCTCCAAAACTTTTGGGAATGCAACCAAATGGCATTTTTAGATGGCTTAAGCTTAAGATGGCAGGGACTTTCCAAATATCAACATCCTGGTCATGAAATTCCCTTCAAAAGGAAGGGAAGAGTTGCCCTATTCCTGATGGTTATTACATATTCAATGGATACAATTATCATATATAGCCTGCCTGCACGTTTACTTTCCTTTTCAAATACATGTTGCTGTCCTAATCATAGATTCTAAACGGTTTTCAATCATAGGAAAAAAACCCATAAAATCATAGAAACATATAAAATTGGTGTAAAAGTACAATATAATACAAAATTACACATGCTGGATAAAATATAGCAACCAGGCAAGATACAGGTAGTCCTTGACTTACAACAGTTCATTTAGTGGCCTTTCAAAGTTACAATGGCACTGAAAAAAGTGACATGACCATTTTTCACACTTATAACCATTGCAGCATCCCCCTGTGATTTACATCTGGATGCTTAACAATTGATTCACATTTACGATGGTTGTAGTGTCCCAGGGTCATATGATCACCTTCTGACAAGCAAAATCAATGAGGAAACCAGATTCATGTAACAACTGTGTTACTAATTTAACCGCTTAACAAATAAGGCAAAAAAAGTCGTAAAATGGGACAAAACTCAGTTAACAAATTTCTTACTTAGCAACATAAATTTTGGGCTCAGTTATGCTTGTAAGTTGAGGACTACCTGTGCAATAGAAAGAGTAATCTCAAGTATTTCAGCAAACAATAGAGCGAAGGCCAGGACAGCAATCAATATTTATCCCAGACACAAATAGAATCATAGTGCTGGAAGGGAGCTTGGAGGTCTTCTAATCCAATCTCCTGTCCAATCAGGAATCCTTATAACTTCCCAGACAAATGAATGTCCAATCTTTTCTTGAAAACCTCCAGCGACAAAGGCAAATTGTTTCATTGATTAATCATTCTCACTGTCATGAAATTTATCTTTAGTTCCAGGTAGGATTGCTCTTTAACGAGGTTCTACCCATTGCTTCTTATTCTGCTCCCTCACCTCTGTAATTGCCCTCAATACTGGAAGACAGTATCATGTCACTCCTAATGTTTCTCTTCATTAGGCTAGATGTACCTACCGTATTTTTCGGAGTATAAGATGCACCTTTTTGCCTCAAAAAAGAGGCTGAAAATCTGGGTGCATCTTATACACTGAATACAACATTTTTGCCTCCCAAAACCCCACCCCCTTCACCAAAATGGCCGTGCATAGCCTTTAGGAGGCTTTCAGAGTGCTCCTGGGGGCTGGGGAGGGAAGACATGAGTGAAAAATGAGCCATTTTTTGCTCAATTTTGTCCGTCCCCCCCAGCCCCCAGGAGCACTCTATAAGCCTCTTAAAAGCTATGCATGCCCTTTTTTTTGACAAAAATGTGCCTGTTTTCACAAAAAATGGCCCAATTGTTTTGCTCATTTCTGGGGGGGGCACTCCCCAGGCGCACTCTACAAGGCTCCTGAAGGCTATTCATGCTCTTTTTTTGAAAAAAAATGGGCCCGTTCTCACAAAAAAACGGGCCATTTTTGGGTGGTCAGCAGAGTGCAAAAACTTTTTTTTAATTTGCCTCTTCAAAATCTTGGTGCATTTTATAATCCGGTGCATTTTATACTCTGAAAAATGCAGTATACTATATCCACAACACTGGATGCTTGATCTACCATGCACTATCATATCCTTGATCCACTAAGTTAATCACTTTATCAAAGAAGGCAATAAAGTGTATATAGCACAATTTGTTTTAACAAACCCATAGTGGCTTCTATTAATTGCTTACAAACGTGTTGCTTGCTTATCTGTTCTAGGATTTTCCAAGGTATTGATGGCAAAGTGATTATTCTGTAGTTTCTGGTTCCATTTTATTTCTTTATTTCTTTTTTTTTTCTTTTTTTTTTCCTTTTTTTTTTTTTTTTTGCTTTTTTAACCTGTTTTCCTGACCTGACTCCCACAGTGGTATTTTTGATA